CGTACTGGCCCTCAAAATGTTGGTATTCTTTGGCATCCCATTCGCCGTACCCTTCATTGTGGTCAGGTATCAGCTCAAGAAAGCTGCCGGACATTACCACCGCAACTGAAGCACTGGTAGTTTTATTGACCTCTCGTTTTAATGTTAATTCAATTTTTTGTATCATTAATGCTAATGAAAGACAATTATTTAATATAAAATTGAAAAATTAAAAATAGTTTTTAGAATTAGTTTTAATAAAAACAAATGTTTGTAAAAATATTATTATATTAAAATGTGTTAGAATCATAATTTATGCCAAAAAATATATTTATAATTAAAATAAGTGAATGTATGTGTATTAAACAATAAAAACCTAAATAGACAAAAAAAATTAAAGTAATAATCTTATTAAGACTGCATTAAAATGCTATATTATTATGGAAATAAAAACTATCGAAACAATTAACAAAATACTTTTATATTAAGTCTTAATAATTGTATTTATACAGTATAATAATTTGAATTAAACCATACAGGTATAATATTGAGGTAACACTAATGCTTAAATTTAAATATTTCCATATAAATGGCCCCGTATTTAACTTTGAGAAACAATGGAGTGGTGACCGGCTCATAAAAGCCGGCGCCGTCCCTATAATCATAGAAAACAACCCATCGCTGACACGGATCCATATTCTCCAATCCGTTGATAATAGCGGCGCAAACGTGATTAAACTTTTCACCTTGCTCCAACTCCTCCCGCACGATAGCCAACACCCGGTTCTTTGTGTATTCACTCATATTTGACTTCTTGACCACAGGATTGGATGCGTGCTCTTTGGCTGATTTCAGTGACTCCCGGTGCGAGACCTGTCCAGTCGGCCATTCAATTAANGTGATTAAACTTTTCACCTTGCTCCAACTCCTCCCGCACGATAGCCAACACCCGGTTCTTTGTGTATTCACTCATATTTGACTTCTTGACCACAGGATTGGATGCGTGCTCTTTGGCTGATTTCAGTGACTCCCGGTGCGAGACCTGTTCGGTTAGCCATTCAATTAATAATTAATAACAATTTCAATTAATTAAAAATATTTAAATATATTACATATGATTCCCTGAACACACTGTTACTGTATTCCTGTCTCTCAAGCCTTTCCAAAGTGATTGCATTTTCTTCCTTTAATGCCTTCATTTCATTCATAAGACTCTTGTATTGATTCACATCTAACAGCATATAATCGCCGATCTGG